GCTCCGCACCGCTCCCCTGCTCCGCACCGCTCCCCTGCTCCGCACCGCTCCCCTGCTCCGCACCGCTCCCCTGCTCCGCACCGCTCCTGCCCAAACCCTGCGAGATGCACATGCCAGAGTGCGGCCCCACGGCAGCTAAAGGTAGCAGCGTGCGGGCGGAAATGCTTCCACTGTTTCCGTGGAAACCTTTGTGGTTTGTGATTGGCTGTATTGCTTTCTCAGCTCCTTGTGAGGGTGGGTTTACCCAGTCAAACCCTCAGCCCTGATTCACCAAACCAGTCCTCCCAAAAGGCACGTGACTGGATTTTGGGAGCAGTGCCCTCCTGTGTGTGACGGCACCCCAGCAGTCATGTCACCTGCATGCGGGAGCTCTTCTCGCTCAGCCATGTTCTCTTGGCACGGAGGTAAATTCTGATGAGCTACGGCTGAAGCTCCAGCTGCGGGGCTCAGGGGTAAGCCTGAGGGAGAGCGCCCCGCTGAGGATGGGAGGCCTCACTGCAGCCGTGTAATTGCAGGATGCTTTCTGCCTGGAAGTACTAATGAACTCCTGGTCTTTGTAGCTCTGAATCCACCATAAATCCCCAGGTAATGTCAGGCCACTGGAGACTGCAATTAAATGACAGGGTGTTAGTGGAAAGCGGAGAGCCGGGCGGCGGTGGCCCAGAGCAGCTGGCATCCGCACGCTTTTCCCACTCCGTGCCGATTGTTTCCTCATGGCTCAAACTGTCTGGAAGAGGTGGAGAGCTCTGCTCGCTGGCCGAGCTGGAGTTCACTGAGCTGCTCTGTCTGGAAGGTGTGGCCACGGGCGATGCTCTCAGCCTTTTGTAAAAGCCTCACAAAGCCAGGAGACATCAAGCAGCCTACAGCGGGATCTCGCTAGGAGGGCGTGTGTGTGGTTTCGTGGGACAATACAGGAAACAAAGTCCCCCCCGACCTGCCATCCCCTAAAAGCAGATCAAAAGCACATGGAGTAGTGACAGATCCACTGTCCTGTTGGCACAGGTGCTAGCCGCAGTGGTCACATGACCTGCGGTGTGGTGATGCGCTTGCAGAGTGACGTTTGCATAATAACCCGGTGTAACTGGGGCAGGCCTGTCCTCCCAGTAGCGCCCCCACCCCCAGCCCAGCCTTTGGTGAGGCAGGTGACCTAACAAAGACATCACCAGACCCAGGTGACACTTTTTTCTCTGTGCTTTCCATTGCCGTGCTGATGCGACGGGTTAGCATCCCCCTGGAAGGAGCCATTCGCTTGCAGTAATGCATTATGGGTAGATCAACAGAGACAAAGTACAAGGAAGAGACAAAGGCCAACTTCAACCCAAACCCCAGCAGTAGGACCTTCTACCTTGTTGGCCAGTTTGTCACCGTTAGCTTTTACGCTCATGTGGGGTGAACATTACAGCTAATGCTTTACCCCGAAGTCAGCACTGCCCTCTTTGAAGGTTAAATCCAAATACGCAGGTGTCCAGCACTCTACTCTGCACTAAGAAGTCCCACAGGATCTGACCACCAGGGCCGCGCTGATGAGAAGGGCAGGTGTGCGTGCCCAGCTAGTGTACGCTTGGGGCTAGGGTCACCGGCTCGGGGGGCCACGGTAACTCGCAGCTGGGACGTTCCAGGACAGCGGAATGCAAACAGCATCCACTTAATTTGTAAAGCCAAATGAGCGTGGCCTCAGAGCCAGTCGCACGCACTCAGCGCGGCACATGCCAAGGGGCTGACCAGCCTTCTGGGGCCCCGATACGCTGCAATGCAGCAGGCCGCCGCAGATCACGAGGGGGGGGGGAGGCAGGCAGCACATTTTACATGACGGAATTTGCGTGGAGGGGCTTCAGGTGGGCTGGTGGGGCACTGGGGCGCCAG